TTCCCTAGAGTCTAATTATCAATTGTAAAGGTCAAATAACTGGATTTGGCTCCTATCAAAATAATCGACTCTACCATTGACGACAGATTATTCTGAGTCTTGGATAAAAGGTGGGGTGGGGATACAGTTCTTGTGTATCCAATAGTGTTTTCAAGCAACAAGGTACAATTACATGACCAATACTACATGTATGCAAAAGTTCATACGTTTTTATGTTCATAAATTCAAGTTCGCTAGTTTGCAAACTTTTGACGAACTTCATGACGTCCGTGTCACAGATGCACAGACGGATTGCAAAGGTTCTTATTCCTTTACAGCATAGGAAACAATAATAATAGTCATTGCTTACCTCACCAATCATCTGTACATTCAGTCGGAATTGTGATTCTTGGTAAATATTTTCCAAGAACCAATCAAATGATTTACATTTTAGTTTATTTCTTAATTCTCTTCGGAATGTAACATCTCCATATTCTGTTTTACGAACACCTGAAAATGAAAAAAAGTTTTGATGTAATCGGTCTATCATTCAATTTGTTTAACCATATACAAAAAAAAACTATTTAGTATAAAGAGAATTCTCTATTGGTCAAATTACCAAGCCATACCGTAAGTCAAAAATTGCCCAGAAAGAACATGCAGTTTTCCTAAAGTGTATTTGTTGTGTTAGAATTAAAAATACATTAAAAGAAGTTTTGGCATGGTCAGAAAGTGGCGCTGCTGACTTTTTAATAGGGGTGTTCCCTTAATAAAATTGTTCCCTTAATAGACATTGGCTGTAGTGTTAAGATGGATACACACTGCAACCATCAGCCAGAGAACCAACTCTACTCCCCGTGACTTCTAGACAACATGACGCTGTCTGCTAATTTTCGAAGGCAGTCTGAACGTATCAACATTAAAAACAATCTGTTGCATGCGCATTGTGATGCTGCGTTCTTCATAGAATCGTCCAACGTCCGTCGGGCATTAAGGGCAGATTGCCTTAAATTGCCTTAAAATGACTTCTTCTATAATTACCTGGATTCATTTTATAATAAAAGTTTTTATATTGATCCATCCACACCTCTGCTAGTCTCTGATTATTACGATTAATAATTTTACCAGTGCCTCCAGGGAACGTATAAGGGGTAGATTTTCTGAACACATGTCCAACATGTGAACAAGTAACTATTTCCAATACACCTCCACACATCCATATCTGAAAACAGAGAATAGAAGTTTTGTGCTTTGATAAAATTGATCTGTCACCCTCTACAGTTGGATGTGAAATTATTAGTACTTGTGCTACAAATCATATAGCACTTAATTCCAACAAAGCCATCCCAATATTAACCCTGGTCATTGGATCAAACACATATTGAACCCATACTCAGCTCCATCGGAAGAAATTTGTTATATTGCAGAAAGTAATCAGCGCATTTTGTGTTTAAACCTACCAGGTTCCCACTTGTCCTCCTGGGCGCAGAAAGACAACTGTAGGTAAAGTGCCTTGCCCAAAGACACAAGCAAGGGATCGAACCCCTGACTTCATGTTTACAGAAGCTGACCTGCAACCGCTGTGCAAAAACTGCGTTGATAAATTATGCATGCACATATTCAAGTGCCTTAACATTTAAAATAGTACTTAGATAACAAGGATCGTTACTTTGGGTTAAAATTGTCCAGGCCAGCCTGACCCCTAACACCCCACCCCCAACTTAAAACCACCTGTGCTATAGCACAATAAATCTCACCCTAAATGAAATTTCTAGGTTCTCTCCTCCCCAAACATCCATTCCAGAATCATAAGTTCCTATCTCCTCAAAGTAACTCTTATCAATTGCAAAAAGACCTCCAGCCATTGTTGGTGACCTGAAAAATAAAATCTCATCAATAAATTTGTGATTTTCTGTGATTCAAATATATAATCTTACATTTTTACATTGAAACCAGCAATCTACACAGTCTGTCGTGTTTCAGAAAAACACAATTTATCCATTTTTTGAAATTTTGGCTTAGGGGCACCCTGTGAATGTAATCTATCATGGAAAGGGATCATATACTCCAAACAATTTTTGAAATATAAAATTAGTATCATGCATATTTAATTACTTTCCCAGCTGGTGGAGGTACAGTATGGTTATGGTTAGAGTTCCTATATAAAGAGAGTTGCGACATATGAAGCTGCTGGGTAGTCATTTTGGTGCCTTGCATGCATGAGTGAACGCAAAGCCTATGCTACAGTGTGGCGATTGCAAAAATAATAGACAATTGAAAAAAATAAAAATATTAATAAGAAAATTTTATGTTATAGTAAATATCTGTTAATCAACATGTGTTTGAAATTTATAACAAAATTCCAAAAGAAATTGATTCTATTATTATTCTATTATTAACT